CCTTGCAATTTGAAAGACCCATGTAATATTTTAGGCGTCTTTCCTACAAGCATTTATTAATATAATTTTACATGCAAAGAATATCACATTATCAGTTGTCTGAGCAAGATCTCGAACAAGGTAAGAGATTAAGACACTAAACTTATATGAGCAACAGACCTTAAGATGTAGACAAAACCATTTGAGTTCAAAGCGTCAGAGGTCACTTCCGGTCGTCACAGGAAGTGATCAAAGAAATCGAAAATTCCAATTTTTCTTTTTTTTAATTAAAAATTGTATCACTTTATTGTATCTTTTTCGCAGATTCGAAAGATGTTGGTCCCACCGGAAACAAAAATGACAACTTCCGGTTATAAGAGAAAAACTAAATAATTTGAATATTTTACTTTCCCATAAATATTCTTTATAGATTAAGTATTTGAAATGGATTTTCAATAGGTTATTCAAAGTGCAAATGACTAGGGTAACCTTAAATAGCGTTCAAAAATTCACTTCCGGTCGAGTGTTTTCTGTCCTCAAAATGAGAAATTTTCTGAGCGAGATCTCAAAAGCAGGTAAAAGATTAAAAGACCAAACTTTTATGAGCAATAGACCTTGAGGAGTAGTCGAAACCATTTGGGTTAAACGCGTCAGTCGTCACTTCCTCTTGTCACAGGAAGTGATCAAAGAAATCACGTAGGATTTTCACACTGACGATCAGGGTTAAATCTCCAGAGTCTGAATTTCTTTTATCACTTTTTCAGCTTGAATTTTCGTTTTTATTTTTAGAATCGAACGGAAGACCTCTCATTGCTCGCAATGAGTTTCTAGTTACTTTATTTATTGCTGTTGCCATAGCTAGCTTCATGATACCTTTTCTTTACCTTTCTCTACTTTTGTTATGTAAAAACAAGTAGAGCTACAGTCTTGTCAGAGACTTCTTGTTCCTCTTTGATTTGCTATTAGCTTTATATGTTTTGCTACCTGAGTACTTAGTCATGCACCAATTTTGTGTGTGGAAAGGTAGCACAGGAATTTCTACAAATATGTTATGAAGTTTATCAAGGACACAGCAAACTTCAGGTGAAGGCAAGCAGAAATTAATGGAATGTTTTAAAATGGAAATATTTAGGACCACCATGGTAATTTATAGATAATGAGATCAAGTTGCAACGAAGGAATTCCATATTGTGTATGTTTTATATGAAATTAATTTCCATTCTAATAATAAAATTTACATATGAAACTCATGATTCACTGTGTCATTCTGGAGTGTGCCCTATGAAATTTTTTTGTTGTTGCAGGATTCCCATACTTTAACTCGAAGCTTTTGATTTTGGTATTGACTGTTGTCTTCCCACCTATCTGTTTTACCCAATGCTTAAAAGGGGGGGGGGGGTATATGATAGGGGTGTCCATCCATTACACTTGGGGGTAGCCGTCCTTTGTCTGTAACTCCTCTTACACCACCAAATCTAATTTGATGAAACTTCAAAAAATCTCTATTACATAGTGGCATTGTGCATCTCCTATTTTACTTAGATGGGACACATATTTGGGGGTTTCCCACAGCAAAACATGGACACTGCCTATAATATTGAGGGTACCCTACTCTGAATGAAATTTTGTGAGACTTTCACTGAATCTTTATTACATAGTGCCATTGTGTACCTCTATTTTTATGCTTTGATTGGACAGAATTTTGGGTTTCCCAGAGCGAAATATGGACTTTGCCATTCTTGGTACACTTATCTGCAACTCCTTTTACACCAATGAATGCAATTTAATGAAAGAGCTAGATTCACTTTGAGCATGAAATGCTTAGATATAATAGATATACCAATTTATTTATTAGCATGCTATGTCCCAGTTCAAACATCAATTTAAGTAAAGACTTAGTGTTTTCATTTCCTATAACAGTTTCCTCTGAGAGTTCAGGTATTGGAAAACAGGCTTTGTGAAATTGCAATGTTTTTGAATTTTGCATAAAAATGGTATCTTTCTGCAAAGAATTAAAATATGAGCACACCCTTTGATCCAAAAAGTAAAAATATTATTTTATAATTTTCAGAAATAGTTCTGTCATTACATAATTAAACATTTTTGGATCAGAAGTTGTGTTCTACACAAAATATTAAAAAACAGCTTAAATTTTTGGCAAAGTTTTGAGAAAATTTTCAGGATATGGGAGTAATGATGCAATGAAATCATAATGCATTGACTAGCCAGAAAATTAAGTCATTTTCAATAAACATGCAATCAGTCACCAAGGGTCCAAGTGATATTTAATGTATTGCCAACTAAACTACACAGTTTTGATTTTTCAGAAATTCACAAGGCCAAAAAGACCTTAAGTGAACCCTGCTCTTTTCACAAAATCTCTATTACATAATGGCATTTTGTATCTCCTATTTTACGTTTTGATCGGAAAGATAACTTGGGTTTTCCATAGCAAAACATGGATTTTGCCATTATTTATGAATGGTGGTACCCATCTCTTGTCTGCAACTCCTCTTATACCATGGATAAAAATTTGATGAAACTTTCACAGAATCTTTATTACACAGTGCCATAATGTGCACCTTTTATTTTACGCTTTGATTGAAGAGATATTTGTGGTTTCCCATAGCAATTGATTTTGTCACTTTATAATACTTCATAATAGGAGTACCAGTTTTGTTATTGTTAAACACAATTTCTTCTAAAGTCCTGAATGAAATTCAATGGAACATTCACTTAATCTCATTTATATGCTGCCAAGAAATGCACATTGCCATTATACTCATATGAAAAGGGGTTATCAATCTGTGAGCTCAGTACTCGCAATACCTCTAGTTCAAAAGGGTGTTCTTTCCATAGGTTTTGCCTGATTTTGAGAAAAAAAATTTGGTATGCAACTACACTACATTAAGATACATTATCAATCTTCATCAATTTTTATCATTTTTTTCTTATTTGGACAGTTTTACTCTGGTTACAAATATTAAATCGATTTCAAAATGCCACGTACTACTGCAGATTGGTCCTGGTTTCAATTAAATGATAATGGTCTAGCTGTTCGTAAACATTTTTTGTCTATGGATTATCAAAATACTTAATGATTTTTTCCCAACATTTTAGAAATAATGTATTCCATTTGAGTACATATACATGCATGTGGTATTTTCAGATTGATTGTCAAAAATTGAAAAGAAGTTGCAAGTTTTTGTTAAAGTTTCATTGTACATAAGAATCACGAAAGAGTATAACGTGTAGAATTTTTAGAACATCATATTTAATGCAAAGGAATCATGTGACCATGATTTGTCTTGACCCTATGTCCTAGGTCTTTTGGTTAAGGTCAAGGTCAGAGGGTACAAAAGTATTAAATCATTGTTCTAGCCACCACTTTGAAATGGGAAAACATTGGAAGAATAAGAATTCCTCACACACAGGGGTGTTACAATTCCTTCAACTAGTTACTCTTCAAAGATTTTGGTCATGGGAATTAATAAGATTTTTTTGCAAGATTGCTAAGTCCTTTTATAAGCTTTTGTAAGTTGTGTACTGTCTCCAGTTCCCCCATGGGAAGTATTGGTCCCATTATGACAGATCTATTTGATTTTAATAAGTATGCAGCAACTAAATATAATTTCACTTTCTAAAATAAAAAAATCTCCCATACCAGTTGTTCATTTTAACCAGTAGAGCTACAGTCCCATGAGAGACTTGATAAGATTATGTCATGGAGTCCTGACATGATAAATATATCCTAGCTGGTTTTTAAGCAAAAATCATTAAATTGAAGGAATCATAGAAACATTTGTGTAATACTTGCTTCCTATAGAATGATGTAATTTTTTTTAATTATCTCTGATGGATTTTGCAGCAGGTTTCTGTAGTGTGACAGAGCAGGAACAAATTTCAAACAAATTTAAGATACGAATTTCTTAATGGGAAGGAAAGCACATGCTGCTTGAGAGGTTACTAAATGCAATTTTTAAATCAAAACACAATTCTTAAAAAAAATTCATTGATTTCTTTGTTTCTACCTTTTAAAAATCAATTTAGGTCTGATTAATTACATAATTCCACTAGGTGAGGCATTAGTAATAACATTCCTGTGTTCCTGGCTTGCTATTGATACATTAGTCAGCAACTCCACACAACATCTCCCATCCCACAGATCTTAAAAGATGACTGCGGATAGCACTTTATCAAATTGATTTTTGTTTCTTTTCTTTGGATGGGGGCAAAAAAATCCATGAAGAGTCCCGACACCTACTTTCAAGTGTATTGACAATAAAGGATGAAGGTTTAAGAGTGAGGGGTGACTTCAAAAAAAAAAAGCTAAATGTTCTTGACAGGAATTGAATGTCACACATTTTCTTTGAGAAATTAATTGGATTATTAGCTGTTTAGTGCTACCTTTTGGTTCCTTCATCATTTATTCATACCTAGTGCTTAATTTTGTTAGCCAAAGAAATCAACTTAATGAAAATTACATGTATATCTTTCATGATAGATTTTGTAAGAATAATACAACAGAACAATATCTTTGACATTTTGGTAATTTAGTATTTTTATGACAAGTTTAATCTTTTTATCTAAAGTAGGGTGCCCAAAAAGTTTTGGTTTGATACAATATTGACTCAATTTGAAACAGAAATAATAATTTTACATGCATATATATTTTCAACATTTGGCATCATCTCATCTTTGCAGGGAACTCGGGGAAAATGGAAACTAAATCTTTTCTCCCAGAAAGAAAAAAAATGATTTCTTAATAAATTTAGATTATGTCTTTTACACATCTTGTTTTACTGTTAGAAAAAGTCGAAAGATGAAGGTCACAATGAATTATTTAGTAGTGATAGTTTTTTTCTCAATAATCTTACAAGATCTTGTAAAGAGAATAGCCAGTCAGGGAGACAAGGTGATCAAAAGGTAATTGTAAATTTATGGTCAGCAAAGTGCTATATATTTATTCTTTTTGTGTTTCTTAGGCACAGGGTGTATATATTTGTTGTAGGTAGAAATAAAAAGGGAAGCTTATAGGGTATTTACCATCTTGTTAAGTTCAACTGCCTGCCAAATCTACTGATGCAGGCACGCAACTCCAATCATTTGTAAAAGATAAAAGCTGTTTTTCAAAGAAATGGGTGATGATTAGGATTTTTTCACTATGGGAAGTGATTTTAAATGCTAATTCCATATTTTTTTTAGAAGGGAATTATACGACGACGGAGTGTAAAATATAAATATACAAGTATTGTGAGGGAGCACTTATTTTTTTACGATTTGTTGAGGGGAAAAAAGGAAACATTGATTTGAAAAGGTTAGTTTTTCAGTTAGGTATATTCTTTAAAGATTCTAGTACAATATTATCAATTTGATCAAGTGTTAAAGGAATTTAAGTAAACCATGATCTTGTTTCTAAATTTTAATGTTTCAAGTGGTAAAAAACACAGTGAAAGATTAGAACCTGACATAATGGGTATGATCAAACAGCAAAGTATTCAGTAAATATAGAATTTTTTAGGTTCTGTTTTGTTTTTAATTTCGAAGATGAATTAATAAGGCAAAATCAAATTATTTTACATAAACAACAACTCTGTGCTAATTAAAAACCCAGAAAATGCCAGACAATGTGAGTTGTGATGGGTGGTCATATTGGACAGAGAAAGATTTTTCTTTGAAGTTCTTGGTTTTTCTTTCCACATACATTGCAAAGAAGTTTATCATTTGAGAAGTCAGGATTTTATATTGAATTTCTTTTCAATGTCAGGTTCAATATATGATTCTTTTTTTTACTTCTCTATGTAATAAAACAACCTCCTACAAGGAGCATTTCATTTTGCTCACTCTTTAATACCTTTATAAAATAGGGATTCTTTTGTTTTTCTTTGGGGTATATGAATCCATTTACTGGTGCATGATTTCAGTCTTAATTAATTAATTCTGATGATGAAAGGTGCTGAGCCTGTACTCTGTTTACCTTATGCTTTGTCTGTCTGACGGTAGTGAGTCATGGCAAACATCAGAGAGGAGGGGAAAAAAAAGAAAGAAATCTGTCTGAGCCATCAGAGATCTCAAACACAAGAAATGAATTTGTTTTGGAATTCTTGATTGATAAGGGATCCAAATCGCAGAGGTTTGTTGTTTTGATCCTAACTGCCATACCTGCTTTGTAGGAATTGGTGTGTTGAAAGATGGATAGATTTCTTGCAGAAGACCATATCTAAACTCACTGCCCAGGAATCAGGATGAATGTGTCATCTGATATTGCTGGTTACATTTATTTACCTACAAGTCTTGCTCTGCCTAAGATTGCATCTCAGGTTGCATGTAGATTTGCCATTTATTTAAACAGAACTGTGACTTGGATTAATGATTCCTTTATGGATAATGAAAGTTTAATGGTTCCATGGAAAACAATTCCCATGTATTTCATTGATGGTTGTTCCATTGTCTTTTTTTAAGTTTATAGCAGGAGATGCTGAATTCTCACAATCTGTTAGCAGATTAAATAAAGTAAATTTTAAATTAGAATGCATAAAATGTATATGATTTAAAATTTAATATCATACCACATATGATTTACGTGTCTATAATTATAGCTAAATCATTGACCTGTGAGTGGTAAACAGTTATAAATACTTAAATTACTTCCTATTAAAACATTAAAAAAAAGATTGGAATAAATTTTGATTACAAAAATTTATCCAAACAACAAAATGCAAGAAATTATTTGAAACATCAAATTTAATACACACAGATCCGTCTCATTAGTTACATGTATTATACACAAGCACTGTAACATCACTAAGTCTGAAGTTTAAATTTTGTAGTTTGAGAAAAAAATAAAGGTTTGATCATGGCATGGGGATTTCATTTCTTGGTTGAAGAAAATTGTAATGAAACTGTACCTTACCATTTTTACATTTCTTGGAGGACATAAATTCATGGGGCTCTTAATATCATGAAAACAATGAACAAAAACTCCCCTGAGTAATAATAGTCTGTAAAATAAGTTATTTCACAATTATTTTGTAATCATTCTTTTTATGCCCCCGTAATCGAAGATCTGGGAGCATATAGTTTTTGCCCTGTCCATCCATCTGTCTGTCTGTCTAGCTGTCATTTTGTCTGTATGTTTGTCCGCAAAAACTGTAACCTTGCCCATAACTTTTGATTGGTTGGAGCAATGGCTTTCATATTTCACATGTGTATTCTTTGTGACAAGACCTTTCTTTGGGTACCATAAAATTTGACCTTTTGACCTTGATCTTGGAGTTTGACCAACTTTTGCAATATTTTTTAGACTTTAACCTTGGCCATAACTTTTGAATAGTTGGTGCTAGGGCTTTCAATCTTCACAGATGTATACCTTGTGACAAGCCCTTTCTTCAGATACCAGCAACTTTGACCCTTTGACCTTGACCTTGGAGTTTGACCTACTATTGGAAAAATGTTAACCTTGGCCATAACTTTTAAACCGTTGATGCAAGGGCTTTCATATTTCACATGTGTATACCTTGTGACAAGACCTTTCTTTGGATACCAAAAACTTTGACACATTGACCTTGACCTTGGAGTTTGACCCTGTTTTGAAAAACTTTAACCTTGGCCATAACTTTTGAACGGTTAGTACTAGGGCTTTCATCATTCACATATGTAATCCTTGTGACAAGGTCTTCCTTTGGATACTAACAACTTTGACCCTAAATTGACCTTGACCTTGGAGTTTGACCTACTTTTGCAAAAATTTAACATTGGCCATAACTTTTGAACAGTTGGTGCTAGGGCTTTCATACTTCACATATGTAATCATTGTCAGAAGACCTTCCTTTGGATACCAACAACTTTGACCCTTTGACCTTGACCTTGGAGTTTGACCTACTTTTGCAAAATTTTAACTTTGGCCATAACTTTTGAACGGTTGGTGCTAGGGCTTTCATACTTCACATATGTAATCGTTGTGACAAGACCTTTCTTTGGATACAAACAACTTTGACCCTTTCACCTTGGAGTTTGACCTACTTTTGAAAGACTTTAACTTTGGTCATAACTATTAAATGGTTGGTGCCAGGGCTTTCATATTTCACATGTGTATCTCTTGTTAGAAGGCCTTTCCTTGGGTACCATTAGCCTTTGATATGAGTTGCCATACGGGGGCATCAGTGTTTCACAAACACATCTTGTTCACAAAAATAATAAATTCCACAATATCAAATGAGAGTCTAAGCTTGGAAACCAACAGACCAGTTGATGAAAAAAAATCTTCTCAATTTTATTAACTTAAATTTGATATTACAATTAAGTATCAGATTTCTAAAGAGTAATCAATTAAATAATATTTCTTCAATGATTTACTTGTATAGTATGACTGACATGTGGGATGTGTACTACTTGTATGTACTGACATCCCTAATTTATATGTTTAATTTTTTTTTTGGGGGGGGGGGGGGGTAATGTGAATTGTATTTTCCTGTGTTTGAAGTCCTTGATATACTATGAATGTAATTTAATTCCCAAGCAGATTTTTATTGTATTATATACCAGGGTATTGACAATTTTACTTATAATAAATGGATTAAAGTTGGTCTTGAATTGCTCGTCAGAATTTCTTGAGATATTTATATGGTATCTTACATCAAACCTCATGGAAGGATTGATACATTGATAAGTGCTGAGATATAGGAATGGAAAATCATCAAGTTCTAAAATTTGGGTCTTTTGATACAGATGCTTTTTGAGAGTCATTCAGTTTGAATTGTTTTGATTGGATTGGGTTGTCTTAGAAGTCGGTCGAAAGATTACAACCTGGTTATAGTTATGAAATAATACAATCAGTTATTGTGAACTTATACTTTTGTTAAATTAATTACAGCCACGTCTAGCTAAGGTACATGTATATCCCTTGTCATGCAGTAAATTCTTAGAAAGCTGTCAAGGCCAGACGGGTCTTCATACTTCCCTGTACTCTTTTAAATAAAAAATGCCTGTTGATTTAAAGTTTCTGAGCAGCTTCCTTCAAAATAACATTTAGAGATATATGTTCTTATTAGCATGGATACCTTGGGGGATTCTGGACATGGAGAAAGCCGAAAAAACCAATTTTGACTTCATCAATTCACAAAGCACTCTAACGCCTCTTTAGACAGATGGCACATTTGTTTTATGTATTGTCTTTGGTTTCCTCCTGTAAGCAGCTAACAATCTTACATAAACACACTTTCACTTATTACTGACTGTAACAAAGTTGATCATACATATTTGTCAAGTATGTTGAAATAATTGTGATACATAGGTGACCACTGAAGTCCTCTTTTAAATTAGGATAAAGTTTTTGATATATACACTGGTACTCTTTAATTTATGCTGTCATGTAAACTGTTTTTAGGATGAATGGGATTGGCTTTTGTTTTAATTGGAGGAAGGGGAAGGGGTCTCCTTGGTTAAATTTCTCAAGCTGGCTGACTAGACTTTGTCATCAATATGCCTAAAAATGTAGATTCGTCGTCTATAGAAAATTCCCAGATGTATGAACAATGCAAAGATTGCCTCCAAGTGTCAAATGCATAGGGATTGACACTATGGTAATAGCACTGACTAATTCTGTTTTACAAAGAGGAAAATTTTGGAAGCATTTGTGATTTTAAGATTTATGATGTAAATGTTGTGGTATAATGTGCTTACATATGCCCCTGCCTATGTCTCATTCCTACACTTCTTTATGGTCTGTAGGGAATATATCTGGTTAGCCTAATGTCCTAAGACAATTAGTGTGTCTTCAGACAATTAGTCTTCTGAATGTAATGAGATTTGGTGTTGCATTTGGCTGTATTACTGTATTATTAGCCATTTCAGAGTCTGGGCTGTCAGGGGAGGTAATTGTTCTTTTTGGTGAATTATGTATGAGGGGAAATAATTCTGGCATAAAAAAAATCACCATTTTTACTCTGTGTATGGCTATGTTATTTTAAGTTTTTAATGTAACAGACAGGTGGTATTAGAGTCTGCTTGCTTAAAAGGAAAGAAAACTGGAGAAGTAACTTGAAAGGACTATATTCTGTAATGACCAATATTTGCCCCCCCCCCCCCCCCAAATCAAACTTTAATGGAGAAGTCTATACATGTAATTTTGTTCTAAGTCAGGGCGATATCTGCAGACTTCAAAGCATTAAATATTTTCGTCAGCCATGATGCCATATGTTAAATATGACGTCAAGAGAATGACACAAGTTCAAAATTTCAATAATTTTTAGAGAAAAATGTGTATTTTTCATCAATATTTTGATTAAGACTCACTGAGCGCAGGTCTGCTCCAACTCA